ATTGTTAATTTGATTTCAAATTAAGTCTTATCGGTCTTATCACCTGTTATCAATCTTATCAGTCTTATCACTGTTCTTTCCAATCATTCTTTTCCTTCATTTGAAACATCTCTGTCGTCACAGTTTTCATATTGATTTACTGTTTAAATTTTTAATTAATTATAGAATTTGTTTGCATTCTTCTTTTTTTAATTTTTTTTCTTTAATTAATCTTTTTTTTCTGATTTTATGTTATATATCAGTTATAGTCCTTATATGTCATCTCTCCGACAAATTTTACAATTTTCCAATTGAGAACATCAAATTAAAAATTTGAATATTAAATTTAAATGTTAATATCAGAAATGAATATTTCAACATTTCTTTCGACATGATGTAAATGTTTGCTATGCATAATAATTTCAAAATAATTTTCAATTTCGCATATAATTCAAATTTAAATGATGATAGTATCGGCTTTGTTGTATTGTTTCAATTCTTGGTCGGTATCAAAAAAGGATGTTATAGTTTAAAAATTGTTCATTATGATCAGTTTGAATGTTGTTTCTTCGCCTCACAAAACATTACTCGTTTTTCTCTCAAATTTTATGACTTTAAATTTCAACAAAATTGAATAAGAAGAAGTTTTTTTCGCATGAATCAATCATCTTAAGTGCTTTTCTTTCAGTGCGAAATGTCGAAGAAATAATTCTCTGATATAAGGTTTTGATACGTAGAAATGCTAAACAGGTAATTTTATTTGAATTCACTTAACTGTCTTTATTGAATGCCATTAAATTCACTATAATTTCACAAATTGAATTAACAATAAATGAACATTAAATTCAACTTTCTGTTCTTAACCAAATTTTTTTTAAAAGCATGCAAAATAAGAACAAATGAATAGTTTACAGTAAATTAAATTCCTATTAATGTTGGTTATATTCGATTTGTTATCGTAATATTATCATTATTCTTAACAACAACAATAACAAAAGCATCGAAGAATGACCTCTATTGACATATCACTATCATCCCTAACTGTTGTAATCAGCCAACCAACCATCCATCATTACAGTTATCATCTTAAGAATAATTTGTGCCATTCTCCTTTTGCTTCATTTTAATTATATCATGTTCTTTACCTGAAATTGAATTTTTTCTGTATTAATTGTATAACTTTTTACTTATTCTTATTACTTTTTACAATTAGAATGAAGGAGAATGGAATGGAAGTAAGCTGAAATAAATTGAACCAAATCAGAATAAAGTTTCTTTTGCAACATCTTCAACAAATAATAATGTTAGAAAAGCTGACTATTGTTATCTGACTTTCCATGCTGTCCATCAAATATCCGCAAGGGATGAATTTTTTTTCATTGAACTTTTCTTTGTCGATCGTTGCAAGAAAAATAAGGAATGATTTAACTGAATTGCTTTGTCCAATACATCGGTCATCTGTGAACAGTCTTTGTTGTCCTCCGAATGATCGATTGGATAATGTTTCATGTCTGTATAAAAAACAAATTTCAAATAATTTCAAACATTATTTTCCATACAATGTTTTACCCAATTTTTTTTTTTACTTCATTAAAAATAAATTTCTTGAGAATGGGCTAAATTTTTTTGGATATTTAAAATAAAAAGAAGGAAAAATTCAATTTAGATATTTATGATATTTTATAAGCATATCAATGAAATTATTGCCAATAACAGACATGAACATTTGAAATTATGCGCAATTAATGTAGGATTTTATTATAGTACTTCATCCCCCTTCTTGAGCAGTTAATTTAATTTTGAGCAAATTCAATTTACAGTGCCATTTCGTTCGTGACCTTCTACCCATTTTATTGCTTTACTTTGAACTATTTACCATGATGAATTCCTGTCGAGAAGATTTCTTACATTCAGCAGCAGCATTCTCCACTCTCGATTCTTCTTTATCTGTTCCTCTTGTCTGAAAGCATGCGCAGTTGTCTTTTTGCAAAATAATTTAGTTTTTTATGAATTGATAATGTTTTCAAATTTTCTTTAGTATCTTTCCATTTCACTAATACTTTTCGCTTCTTAATTAATCTGAATTTTTTTTCCTCTTTCTTTTGTTGCATACACATATGAATGATGTTTGAAATTTTTTTTAGCAAAATCCAAAAATTATTCCTTTAGTTACAAATAGTAATCATTTAGGACTATTATTAGCAACCGTTGCATTTATTTTTACATTTAATTAATATTTTTATTAATATAAGATGGTTAAAACTATCATAAACAGGGTAATAGAAATTATAAATAAAACATACTGATAATTAATTAATTGTACGATGGCTTAGGCAAAATGA